ACAGGTAATGGGGACGTCTCAACTGGTAACACAGGTAATGGGTGAACTTACAGGTAGTGGGGACGTCTCAACTGGTAACAGGTAATGGGGACGTCTCAACTGGTAACACAGGTAATGGGGACGTCTCTACAGGTATCACAGGTAATGGGGTGAACTTACAGGTAGTGGGGACGTCTCAACTGGTAACACAGGTAATGGGGACGTTCCTACAGGTAATGGGGTGAACTTACAGGGTAGTGGGGACGTCTCAACTGGTAACATGGTAATGGGGACGTCTCACAGGTAACACAGGTAATGGGGTGAACTTACAGTGGGGGGACGTCTCCAACTGGTAAATCAGGTAATGGGGACGTTCTACAGGTAACACAGGTAATGGGGTGAACTTACAGGTAGTGGGGACGTCTCAACTGGTAACACAGGTAATGGGGACGTCTCTACATGGTAACACAGGTAATGGGGTGAACTTACAGGTAGTGGGTCGTCTCAACAGGTAACACAGGTATGGGGACGTCTCTACAGGTAACACAGGTAATGGGGTGAACTTGCAGGTAGTGGGGACGTCTCAACAGGTAACACAGGTGTAGGGGGACGTCTCACAGGTAACACAGGTAATGGGGGTGAACTTACAGGTAGTGGGGATGTCTCACAGGTAACACAGGTAGTGACGTCTCTACAGGTAACACAGGTAATGGGGAGCCTCACAGGTAACACAGGTAATGGGTGAACTTACAGGTAGTGGGGACGTCTCAACAGGTAACACAGGTAATGGGGGACGTCTCTACAGGTAACACAGGTAATGGGGTGAAACTTACAGGTAGTGGGGACGTCTCAACAGGTAACACAGGTAATGGGGGACGTCTCTACAGGTAACACACAGGTAATGGGGTGAACTTACAGGTAGTGGGGACGTCTCAACCGGGTAACACAGGTAATGGGGATCTCTCCACAGGTAACACAGGTAATGGGTGAACTTACAGGTAGTGGGGACGTCTCAACTGGTAACACAGGTAATGGGGACGTCTCAACTGGTAACACAGGGTAATGGGACGTCTCAACTGGTAACACAGGTAATGGGGACGTCTCTACAGGTAACACAGGATGGGGTGAACTTACAGGGTAGTGGGGACGTCTCAACTGGTAACACAGGTAATGGGACGTCTCTACAGGTAACACAGGTAATGGGGTGAACTTACAGGTAGTGGGGACGTCTCAACTGGTAACACAGGTAATGGGGATGTCTCTACAGGTACAGGTAATAGGGTGAACTTACAGGTAGTGGGGTCGTCTCAACAGGTAACACAGGTAATGGGGACGTCTCTACAGGTAACACAGGTAATGGGGTGAACTTGCAGGTAGTGGGGACGTCTCAACAGGTAACACAGGTAATGGGGACGTCTCTACAGGTAACACAGGTAATGGGGGTGAACTTACAGGTAGTGGGGATGTCTCAACAGGTAACACAGGTAGTGGGGACGTCTCTACAGGTAACACAGGTAATGGGGGACGTCTCTACAGGTAACACAGGTAATGGGGTGAACTTACATAGTGGGGACGTCTCAACAGGTAACACAGGTAATGGGGACGTCTCTACAGGTAACTACAGGTAATGGGGTGAACTTACAGGTAGTGGGGACGTCTCAACAGGTAACACAGGTAATGGGGACGTTCACAGGTACAGGTAATGGGGTGAACTTACAGGTAGTGGGGACGTCTCAACTGGTAACACAGGTAGGGGACGTCTCAACAGGTAAACACAGGTAATGGGGTGAACTTACAGGAGGTGGGGACGTCTCAACTGGTAACACAGGTAATGGGGACGTCTCTCTAACAGGTAACACAGGTAATGGGGTGAACTTATAGTAGTGGGGACGTCTCAACTGGTAACATACAGGTAATGGGGACGTCTCTACAGGCAACATATAATGTAAGAACTTTACAGGTAGTGGGGACGTCTCAACTGGTAACATCATAATGGGGACGTTCCCTACAGGTAACACAGGTAATGGGGTGAACTTTACAGGTAGTGGGGACGTCTCAACTGGTAACACAGGTAATGGGACGTCTCTACAGGTAACACAGGTAATGGGGACGTCTCAACTGGTAACACAGGAATGGGACGTCTCTACAGGTAACACAGGTACGGGTGAACTTACAGTAGTGGGGACGTCTCAACTGGTAACACAGGTAATGACGTCTCTACAGGTAACACAGGTAATGGGGACGTCTCAACTGGTAACACAGGTAATGGGGACGTTCTCTACAGGTAACATAGGTAATGGGACGTTCCAACTGGTAACACAGGTAATGGGGACGTCCCCAGCAGGTAACACAGGTAATGGGGTGAACTTCAGGTAAGGGGACGTCTCAACTGGTAACACAGGTATGGGGGACGTCTCACAGGTAACACAGGTATGGGGTGAACTTACAGGTGGAAGGGGACGTCTCAACTGGTAACACAGGTAATGGGGACGTCTCTACAGGTAACACAGGTAATGGGGGTGAACTTACAGGTAGTGGGGACGTCTCAACTGGTAACACAGGTATGGGGGACGTCTCAACAGGTAAACGGGTAATGGGGTGAACTTACAGGTAGTGGGGACGTCTCAACTGGTAACACAGGTAATGGGGACGTCTCAACAGGTAACACAGGTAATGGGGACGTCTCTACAGGTAATGGGGGTGAACTTACAGGTAGTGGGGATGTCTCAACTGGTAACACAGGTAATGGGGACGTCTCAACTAGTAACACAGGTAATGGGTGAACTTACAGGTAGTGGGGACGTCTCAACTGGTAACACAGTAATGGGGACGTCTCTACAGTAAACACAGGTAAATGGGACGTCTCTGGTAGGGGTGAACTTACAGGTAATGGGGACGTCTCTACAGGTAACACAGGTAATGGGGACGTCTCTACAGGTAATGGGGTGAACTTACAGGTAATGGGGACGTCTCTACAGGTAATGGGGTGAACTTACAGGTAGTGGGGACGTTTTAGCAGGTAACACAGGTAATGGGGACGTCTCAACTGGTAACACAGGTAATGGGGACGTCTCAACTGGTAACACAGGTAATGGGGACGTCTCTACAGGTAACACAGGTAATGGGGTGAACTTACAGGTAGTGGGGAGCCAATTGAGAGAGAAACAGCAGCCTGGCGGCCCATTTATTGAGAGAGGTGTTACACTTAAGCGTCAGGCCTCGTTAACCTGTGGGTGAGGTTAGGTTAGGAAGATTTGGTTGGGGTTTGGGTTGGGGTTTGCTGGGGGTTTGGTTGGGGTTTGGTTGAATTGGTTGGGGTTTGTGAGCTGATTGATTTGGTCAGGGGTTTGGTTGGGGTTTGGTTGGGGCTCTGGCTGGGGTCTGGCTGACCTGTGGGGCCTGTCAGACTCTGTCAGGGCTCTGGCTGGGGGTTTGGCTGATCAGGCTTGGCTGGGGTTCATTGGGCCTGGTTGGGGCCTGGTTGGGGCCTGGCTGGGGGCCTGGCGACTTGTCTGGGGCTTGGTTGGGGGTTTGGTTGGGGGTTTGGTTGGGGCTTGGTTGGGACCTGTTTGGGGTTTGGTTGGGGCTTGGTTGGGTGTGTTGGGATTTGGTTGGGGCTTTGTCAGGGTTTGGCTGGGACTCTGGCTGTGGGGTTTGGTTGGGGTTTGTCAGGGCTTTGGTTGGGGTTTGGTTTTGGGTTTGGCTGGGATTTGGTTGGGGTCTGTCAGGTCTGGTTGGGGTTTGGTTGGGGTTTGGCTGGGATTTGGCTGGGGGTTTGGTTGGGGTTTGGTTGGGGTTTGGTTGGGGGTTTGGTTGGGGTTTGTTGGGATTTGTTGGGGTTTGTGGGATTTGGTTGGGGTTTGCTGGTTTGTTGGGGTTTGGTTGTTTTGGGTTTGGTTGGGGTTTGGTTGGGGTTTGGTTGGGGTTTGGTTTTTGGCTTGGTTGATGGTTGGGGTCTGTTGGGGTCTGCTGGGGTCTGGTTGGGGTTTGGTTGCTAGGTTAGGTTAGATAGATAGATGAACTGGAAGATTGACAGATAGACAGACAAAGAGATAAAATGAAATTCAGACAGACAGACAGACAGATAGACAGACAGATAGACAGACAGACAGACAGACAGACAGACAGACAGACAGACCAACAGACAGACAGACAGACAGACAGACAGACAGACAGACCAACAGACAGACCGACAGACAGACAGACCAACAGACAGACAGACAGACAGACAGAAGACAGACAGACAGACCAACAGACAGACCGACAGACAGACAGACCAACAGACAGACAGACAGACAGACAGACAGACAGACCAACAGACAGGACAGACCAACAGACAGACAGACAGACAGACAGACTGACAGACAGACAGACAGACAGACAGACAGACAGACAGACAGAATGGGACAGAAAGACAGACAGACCAACAGACAGACAGACAGACCAACAGACAGACAGACAGACAGACCAACAGACAGACAGACAGACCAACAGACAGACAGACAGACAGACCAACAGACAGACAGACAGACAGACAGACAGACAGACAGACAGACCAACAGACAGACAGACAGACCAACAGACAGACAGACAGACAGACAGACAGACAGACAGACAGACAGTAGGTGTCGGCAGGGGCTGTGTTATCGTCTGCTTGGGGAAGATAACAGCCTCTTATCTTGACTACTGATAACAATGAGGGCAGCCAATGTGTTATCCTACGTTTGGTCGGTTAGTGTTACGTTAGGTTGCTAGAGTTACGTCAGTTGCGCCAGGGTTAGATATTAGCGTTACGTTAGGTCAGTGTCAGGCTAGGCTACGCTAGGCTAGCGTTACGTTAGTGTTAGGTTACGTTAGGTTACGCCAGGTCACTGCCAGCCAGGCCACGCCAGGCCACGCCAGCCCACGCCAGGCCATGCCAGGCCACGCCAGGCCAGCGTCGCCAGCGCCAGGTCACGCCAGGTCACGCCAGGCCACGCCAGGCCAGGCCACGCCAGGCCACGCTTAGCCCACGCCAGGCCATGCCAGGCCACGCCAGGCCAGCCACGCCAGTGCCAGGTCACGCCAGGCCGCGCCAGGTCACGCCAGGCCAGGCCACGCCAGGGCCACGCCAGCTCACGCCAGGCCATGCCAGGCCACGCCAGCCCAGCGCCACGCCAGCGCCAGGTCACGCCAGGCCACGCCAGGAACCAGCCGCCAGCGCCAGGTCACGCCAGGCCACGCCAGGCCAGGCCACGCCAGGCCACGCCACCACGCCAGGCCATGCTACAGGTCACGCCAGGCCAGCGTCACGCCAGCGCCAGGTCACGCCAGGCCACGCCAGGCCGCCACGCCAGTGCCAGGCGATGCCAGGCCACGCCAGGCCAGCCGCCACGCCAGCGCCAGGCCACGCCAGAGCGCGTCAGGTTGCAAGAGCTACGTTAGTGTTAGGTTACGTTAGGTAACAGTAGGGTTAGTTGCGGCAGTGTTAGGTTACGTTAGGTCACGCCAGTGTCAGGTCACGCCAGGTCACGCCAGGTCAGGTTACGCTAGGCTACGCTAGTGTCAGGCAGGTTACGCTAGGTCACGCTAGTGTTACGCTAGGTTATGTTAGGCTACGCTAGGTTACGTTAGTGTTAGTTAGGTTACGTTAGGTTACGTTAGGTTAGCGTTACGTTAGTGTTAGGTTACGTTAGGTTACGTTAGGTTACGTTAGGTTAGGTTAAGTTGTGCTATCTCGGGTTATTAGTGGTTGTTGTGGTAGTTGTTATAACCCCGGGTGTTGTTGTTGTTGTATTTGACGTCATTGGTTTGTTTATAGCCAATCATATGAGTTAAAGGTTGTGATTGGTCAGTTTCTAGCCAATCACATCATGGAGGGTTTGTTTACTGTTTCTAGGGATCTTATTGGTCAGTTTCTAGCCAATCACATCATGGAGGGTTTGTTTACTGTTTCTAGGGATCTTATTGGTCAGTTTCTAGCCAATCACATCATGGAGGGTTTGTTTACTGTTTTAGGGATCTTATTGGTCAGTTTCAGCCAATCACATCATGGAGGGTTTGTTTACTGTTTCTAGGGATCTTATTGGTCAGTTTCTAGCCAATCACATCATGGAGGGTTTGTTTACTGTTTCTAGATCTTATTGGTCAGTTTCTAGCCAATCATCATGGAGGGTTTGTTTTCTGTTTCTAGGGATCTTATTGGTCAGTTTCTAGCCAATCACATCATGGAGGGTTTGTTTTCTGTTTCTAGGGATCTTATTGGTCAGTTTTCAGACAGAGAGAGAGAGAGAGACAGACAGACAGACAGACAGACAGAGAGACAGACAGATAGATAGGCAGACAGACAGATAGACAGACAGATAGATAGACAGACAGACAGACAGACAGACAGACAGACAGACAGATAGATAGGGCAGACAGACAGATAGACAGACAGACAGAGAGACAGACAGACAGAGAGACAGACAGACAGACAGACAGACAGACAGACAGAGAGACAGACAGATAGATAGGCAGACAGACAGACAGACAGAGGTATCGCCGTGCTCCGGAAATACCTATTACAACTATTTCCTGTCAGCTTAATCATGTTTTTGTGCTTAGCTGGGGTCAATACTCAATATAAATGACTAAGCTTACATCAACACTCACTATAAATGACTAAGCTTACATCAACACTCACTATAAATCACTAAGCTTACATCAATACTCACTATAAATGACTAAGCTTAAGTCAACACTCACTATAAATGACTAAGCTTACGTCAATACGCACTATAAATGACTAAGCTTACATCAACACTCACTATAAATGACTAAGCTTACATCAACACTCACTATAAATGACTAAGCTTACATCAACACTCACTATAAATGACTAAGCTTACGTCAATACTCACTATAAATGACTAAGCTTACGTCAACACTCACTATAAATGACTAAGCCACATCAATACTATAAATGACTAAGCTTACATCAATACTCATTATAAATCACTCAGCTTACGCCATGAATATTAAACACTAAGCTGGGGCCAATACTCACTGTTCATAAGCATAAGCGTTGATGACTGCTTTGGAAGCACTAGGAAGGTGACCGTCAAACCGCACCACCAATCTTGTTCCTGACCGCATAATTCTACCGCAACCACGACACTTGTTACTTGGTCAATCACGTACAGAATCAAGTACCAGGTACATGGCACGAACACTGTCAACATCTGCCAGGCCAGGACCATATCTTTTACTTGTACGTCGCTAAAACGGAACAGTAACGCGTCTTTAGTTTAGGTCATGGCGTCGAAAACCAAGTGATTTGGTTTCGAGGATTATGTAGTCTGGGGTGTTACTTGGGGTGTTACTGGGGTGTTACTTGAGGTGTTACTTGGGGTGATTGGGGTGTTACTTAGGGTGTTCATTGAGGTCAATTCTTGAGGTGTTACTCAGGGTGTCTTGGGGTGTTAGTTGGGGTGATTGGGGTGTTACGGAAAGGTTCCTTGGAGTGTCACTTGAGGTGTTACTCAGGGTTTTTGGGGTGTTACTTGATGTGTCCTTAGGGTGCTACTTGAGGTGTTCCTTGGGGTAACTGGGGTGCTACTTGAGGTGCTCCTTAGGGTAACTGGGGTGTTCCTTGGGGTAACTGGAGGCTATGAGATGCTCCTTGTTTTAAGTATCTTCCAGGAACTTAGTGTGACTGGTGTGGCGTCTGTCTGCGTAATGGCGTCCTTCAGGGTGTGGTTGGGGGTTAAGGGTGTGCCCAACCTCCAGCCTTGAGGTACCTCGTCCTTGGCGGCTCAAGGGTGTGGTCCTAACCTCCAGCCTTGAGGTACCTCGTCCTGGAGACCTAAGGGAGGGCCTCAACCTCCAGCCTTGAGGTACCCGTCCTGGAGACTTAAGGTGTGGCCTCAACCTCCAGCCCAGAGGTACCTCGTCCTTGGAGACCCAGGGTGGCCTCAACCTCCAGCCTAGAGGTACCTGTCCTTGGAGGCCTAAGGGTGTGGCCTCAACCTCCAGCCTTGAGGATCCCTCGTCCTTGGAGGCCCAAGGGGTGGCTTCAACCTCCAGCCTTGAGGTACCCTCGTCCCAAGGCCCAAGGCCTCAACCTCCAGCCTTGAGGTACCTCGTCCTGGAGGCCTAAGGGTGTGGCCTCAACCTCCAGCCTGAGGTACCCCGTCCCTGGAGGACCAGGGGTGTAGCCTCAGCCTCCAGCCTTGAGGCACTCGTCCTGGGAGGCCCAAGTGTGTGGCCTCAACCTCCAGCCTAGAGGTACCTCGTCCTTGGAGTCCCACTTGCTTTGACCTCCAGGGGGCCTGATTCAGCATCATACCATGAGAGGCCACGTTCCAGGGTCCCAGTGGCCTCTGGGGTCTGTTCGGCCTGGCCTCCTTCGGTATCTCGCTGGAAGGCTTTATTTTCCTTGCCTTTGAGGGCCATGTGTGGACCTTGGGATGTCTTAAAATCTTGGGAAATCTTCGAAAATCTTGGGAAATCTTAGTAAAATCTTGAAAAATCTTAGTAAAATTGAAAATCTTGAGAAATCTTGGGAAATTCGAAAATCTTGGGAAATCTTTCGAAAATCTTGGGAAACTTAGTAAAAATCATGAGAAATCTTGGGAAATCTTAGTAAAATCTTGAAAATCTTGGGAAAAATCACCAAATTCACTCAAAATCACTAAATCACTGTTCTGTCAAACACACTGCCACCACAAGCACTCTCCATCGCCTGGCGTTTACCCCATCACACACACACACACGTACCCTGACTCTCCGATCGTCTTCCAGTGGAGGCATTCTTGCACCAGCACTGGCATTAGATCGCCTGGAATGATGTGCACCAGTGTGTGTGGTGTGTCGACAATAACCATGTACTGATAACAGCTGATAACGTACGTCTCTCTCTGCCTCTCTCTCTTTTATTTATTCTGAGAGGAAATTTTTTCACTAATTAAAATTCCTTCCACTTCACTATTATCTGATATGTAATTAAGGGTTAGGTTAGAGAGAGAGAGAGAGAGAGAGAGAGGAGAGAGTGAGAGAGAGAGAGAGAGAGAGAGAGAGAGAGAGAGAGAGAGAGAGAGAGAGAGAGAGAGAGAGAGAGAGAGAGGACTTTCACCTTAAGACACAGGCCTTTCTATTTTTCAGCGTCTGAAACAATACCAGTTGAGAGAGGAGGAGGAGGAGGAGGAGGAGAGGAAGAGGAAGAGGAAGAGGAAGAGGGAGGAGGAGGAGGAGGAGGAAGAGGAAGAGGAGGAGGAAGAGAGGGGGAGGAGGAGGAGGAGGGGAGGAGGAGGAAGAGGAGGAGAAGAGGGGAGGAAGAGGAGAGGAGGAGGAGGAAGAGGAGGAAGAGGAGGAGGAGGAGACTTATTCAATGAAGTGTGTATGTATGTATGGCAACTATATGTGTGTGTACTGTGTGTGTGTGTGTGTGTGTATCTGTGTGTGTGTGTGTATCTGTGTGTGTGTGTGTGTGTGTGTGTGGGAGAGGTTACATAACGCGTACACAATGACGAACTGGGAGCCTCACAATGGTTCCTACACAATGTCAGTCAGCCAGCAAGACTGTTCTCCTTAATTCAACCCGGATGAAAGAAAGAGAGAGAGAGAGAGGAGGTTAGGTTAGTTGTGCTTCTCTCTCTCTTTCTCTCCTCTCTTTCACTCTCCCTCTCTCTCTCACGGGGCCACGGTGAGGGAAGGTGACCAATGGTGCTATAGAACCACTTAATAGCCTTGTAAGTCTAGTCTAGGCTATTTTATACTAGTAGATTGTTAGTAGAGAAAAGAGAGAGAGAGAGAAAGTGAGTTAGAGAAAGTGAGGTAAACTTTTGTTCACCAGGATCGAACCTGGGACCTTCTGTGTGTTAGACAGATGTGATAACCACTACACCATGAGCACTTGTGACACAGGTTCGTATCCCCTATTGAGAGAAAGAGAGAGAGAGAGAGAAGAAAGTGAGTTAAAGAAAGTGAGGTAAAACCTTGTGCTCACCAGGGATCGAACTGGGACCTTCTGTGTGTTAGGAGATGATGAAAACCACTACACCATGAGCACTTGGTGACACAGGTTCGTATCCCTATTGAGAGAAAGAGAGAGAGAGAGAGAGAAAGAGAGAGAAAGTGAGTTAAAGAAAGTGAGATAAAACTCTGGCTCACCAGGATCGAACCTGGGACCTCGTGTGTTAGACAGATGTGATAACCACTACACCATGAGCACTTGGTGACACAGGTTCGTAATCCCCTATTGAGAGAAAGAGAGAGAGAGAGGAGAGAGAGGGAGAGAAAGTGAGTTAAAGAAAGTGAGATAAAACTCTTGTGCTCACCAGGGATCGAACCTGGGACCTTCTGTGTTTTGGACAGATGTGATAACCACTACACCATGAGCACTTGGTGGCGACAAAGGTTCCGTATCCCTATTGAGAGAAAGAGAGAGAGAGAGAGAGAGAGAGAGAGAAAGTGAGTTAAAGAAAGTGAGATAAAACTCTTGTGCTCACCAGGGATCGAACCTGGGACCTTCTGTGTGTTAGACAGATGTGATAACCACTACACCATGAGCACTTGGTGACACAGGTTCGTATCCCCTATTGAGAAAGAGAGAGAGAGAGAGAGAGAGAGAGAGAGAAAGTGAGTTAAAGAAAGTGAGATAAAACTCCTGTGCTCACCAGGATCGAACCTGGACCTTCTGTAAGCAGATGATGATAACCACTACAATCATGAGCACTGGTGACACAGGTTCGTATCCCTCATTGAGAGATCCCATAGATAAGAACATAAGAATGGAAGAAACTGCAGCGGGTCTATTGGTCCATACTGGGCAGATCCACTACACCCAGCGCCCTATTGCCATATAAACATCCAACCTAACACTAACACTAACCTAACACTAACCTAACACTAAAACCTAACACTAACACTAACACTCAACACTAACACTAACCCAACACTAACCTAACACCAACCCAACATTAACACAACCCAACACTAACCCAACACTAACACTAACACCAACACTCAACCTCTAACACTAACCTAACACTCAACACTCAACACCAACCCAACACTAACCTAACACTCAACTCCACACTAACCTAACACCAACCTAACACTAACCTAACACTCAACCTAACACTAACCCAACCAACACCAACCCAACACTAACCCACAGTGTGTTTGAAGCTATCCAGCGTATTTGAGTTAATGATGATATTTGGTAACTTGTTCCAGTCATCCACTACTCTGTTACCAAACCAATGTTTACCTATTGGGAGGACTATGGAGGGTTGGGGAAGACTATGGAGGGTTGGGGATGACTATGGAGGGTTGGGAAGACTATGGAGGGTTGGGAGGACTGGAGGTTGGGGACTATTGGAGGGTTGGGGAGGACTAGGAGGGTTGGGGAGGACTATGGAGGGTTGGGGAGGACCTGGAGGGGGACTTGAGGTTGGGAAGACCATGGAGGTTGGGGAGGACTATGGAGGGTTGGGGAGGACTAAGAGGTTGGGGAAGACTATGGAGGGTTGGGGAGGCTATGGAGGTTGGGGAGGACTATGGGAGGTTGGGGAGGACTATGGAGGGGGGAAGACTATGGAGGGTTGGGGATGACTATGGAGGTTGGGGATGACTATGGAGGGTTGGGAGACTATTGGGGTTGGGGGGACTATTGAGGTTGGGGAGAGACTATGGAGGTTGGGGAGGACATGGAGGGTTGGGGAAGACTATGGAGGGTTGGGAGGACTGGAGGTTGGGGATGACTATGGAGGGTTGGGGAAGACTATTGAGGGTTGGGGGGACTGAGGGTTGGGGAACTGGAGGTTGGGAGGACTATGAAGGTTGGGAGAACTATGGAGGGTTGGGAGGACTTATGGGGGTTGGGGAGGACTATGGAGGGTTGGGAGGACTATGGAGGGTTGGGGAAGACACTGTGGGGGTTGGGGATGACCATGGAGGGTTGGGGACTATGGAGGGTTGGGGATCAATGGAGGCTGGGGATGACATGGGTTGGGGAGGACTATGGGGTTGGGGATGACTAGAGGTTGGAAGACTAGGGGTTGGGAGACTGAGGGTTGGGAGACTATGGAGGGTTGGGGAGGACTATGGAGGGTTGGGGATGACTATGGAGGTTTGGGGAGGACTGGAGGTTGGGATGGGAGGGTTGGGGAGAGACTATTGAGGTGGGGAGGACTTTGAGGGTTGGGAAGACTATGGAGGGTTGGGGAGGACTATGGAGGGTTGGGAAGACATGGAGGGTTGGGAGGACTATGGAGGGTTGGGATGACTATGGAGGGTTGGGGGAGCTATTGAGGGTTGGGAGGACTATTGAGGGTTGGGGAAGACCAGGAGGTTGGGGAGGACTATGGAGGGTTGGGGAAGACTCATGGGAGGTTGGGGAGGACTATGGAGGGTTGGGGAGGACTGGGGTTGGGGAGGACTATGGGTTGGGGAAGACTATGGAGGGTTGGGGATGACTATGGAGGGTTGGGGATGACTATGGAGGGTTGGGGATGACTATGGGGTTGGGGATGACCGGAGGGTTGGGAGGACTATGGAGGTGGGGATGACTGGAGGTTGAGGAAGACTATTGTGAGGTTGGGGGGACTATTGAGGGTTGGGAAGACTATGGGTTGGGGAGGACTATGGAGGGTTGGGGATGACTATGGAGGGTTGGGGAGGACTATGGAGGGTTGGGGAGGACTATGGAGGGTTGGGGAGGACTATGGGCTGGGGAAGACTATGGAGGCTGGGGAGGACTATGGAGGGTTGGGGAGGACAAGAGGTTGGAG